CTGGTTTTTCCTGGTTTTTCCCGGTGTTCCTGGTTTTCCTGGGTTTTCCTGGTTTTTCTTGGTTTTTTCGTGGGTTTCCTGGTTTTTCATTGTTTTTCATGGTTTCCTTGTTTTTCCTGGTTTTTCATGGTTTTTCTTGGGTTTCGTTGTTTTTCCTGGTTTTTCCTGGTTTCCTGGTTTTTCCTGGTTTTTCCTGGTTTTAACTTGTTTTTATATTTTTTTTTCCTGGGTGTTCCTGGTTTTTCCTTTTGTTTTTCATTATTTTTCATTGTTTTTCATGGTTTTCCTGGTTTCCGGTTTTTCCAGGTTTTTCGTGTTTTTTCATGGTTTTTCATGTTTTTTACTGGTTTTCCTTGGTTTTTCATAGTTTCATGGTTTTTCATGGTTTTTCCTGGTTTTTCCTGGTTCTTCATGGTTTTTCATAGTTTTTCATGGTTTCCTGGTTTTTCCTGGTTTTTCCTGGTTGTTCTTTGTTTTCATGGTTTTTCCTGGTTTTTCTTGGTTTTTCCTGGTTTCCTTGTTTTTCATCGTTTTTCATGGTTTTTCCTGGTTCGTGTTAACTCGTAGCTTTCTTGTTTTTCATGGCTGGTTTTTATCGGTTCGCCGCCACACGGTTCGTCATGGCTTCTGGTTTCTTTCGGTTTAGAGCGTTGCCACAAGTTCTTCCCTCCCGCTATAAGCAACCCAGGCCCGCCCTTCCGTCCGCAAGTTCCGACATCGCTGCAGATCGATCGCGAGCGCAGACGCAGCTGGTCCAGCAGGCGCTCCGAAGCCTTAACGTATAACCCTAAGCCCTGTTGGCCACGCGGACCAGAGAATGGCACGCGCATGCGCGCGCAAGGTATACCCGCGAGACGTAGCGCTTGGTGTACCTGGTGTATATGTGTATTTATGTGTATGTATGTATGTATGTATGTATGAATGAATGTATGTATATATATATATATATGCGAATGTGTGTAGCGGCGGAACGCCGCGCTGTGAGGATGTTTTTCTAGGCGCCCAGGGGCGTCTTGAACCAACGTCCACCAAGATTATATGACGCCAGGGTAACGCATGCGCCTTCGCGCTGAACCCACGTGCGCCCCAAATCATGTGAGCCCGAGCTAGCCTGCTCAAGTTCACGTGCGAGCGTGCAACATAGACGCGTGCGCGCATGCATATATACAAATGTATGCGCGATTGCGCATATATATATGTATATATATATGTACGCACATGCACATATTATATATATGTGTATACGTATATACACATATTATGTATAAACGCACATATATATATGTATATATATATATATATATAACACATTAAATTGAGGGCGCGCGTGCGCGTGCATCCGTGTTCGCATGCGCATCGCGTGCGTGTGCCGTGCGTGTGTGTAACCATCGCAGATGTGGCGCGCTCTCGGCGCGCCGCGCCTCCCTCGCTGAACGCCTGCGAGCAGGCGAATAGGCCCAAGGAGCCGCTATGTGTGCATATATATATATATATATATATATATGCCATGCCATGCAAAAAAAGAGTGCGTGCGCATGTGGATGATGTAGCTACCTCAATGTCGACCTGATCAGGTACGTTGTTCGCGGTTGTCCTACGGGCCCTCGGCCCGCGACGAAAAAAAACAACCCTGGACCTCTGGACCGCCATGGCCGACGCCGACGTTGGATTTTTAGGTAGCATAGGGCAGCAGATCGAGGGCAGCTCGCGCGGCATGGAGAGAACAGGGGAAAGGATAATGGTGATCTACACAGATGTAGGTATCATATATATATATGCATGGCTGCCATGCCGCATCTTTTCGAGGGGGAACCTCGAACGCCGTTGGGACCGATCTCTTACGTGCGCTGTCGCAAATCAGTGCGCTGGGAATTTGTTGATTTCAGTGCAGCGCCCCCTCGATCCCCCACGCCCCCTTAAACATCCCACCTGTCCCGCCCGTTCCGGTACTTTTCAACCCTCTCCGACACCTCCCCCCCTTCCCGCACTGGCTTATATAAGGGCATTCGGACCCCCGCCTCAACCCCCAGGGCCCGTCGATCGGGGCACTCGCCCTGCCTGCGCGCTCCCCAGCGCAGGCGATGCCGCCCAAGGCAAAAAAGGCAAAGGCCAAAGGTGCGAAGAAACCAAAGAGCGAGAGGACGCCCGAGCAACGAGAACACGAGAACTGCATGGCACGCATGCGGTGCGCCAGGGGAGCAGAGCTCGGATCCGCGAGGGGAGGGAGGAGGAGGAGGAGGAAAAGGATGAGGAATATGAGGAGGAGGAGGAGGAAGAGGAGGAGGATGAAGAGGAGAAGCGAATCTGTGTTTTTTTGTTGATCTCGTACACGATGCTGCATTAATGGTTTATGCTTCACGGGGGCTATGTGTGAATACTGCGCCCTCGAGCTGGCGGTTCCTCGAGGGGAGGTGCCACATGGACAAGGAAACATTCAAAGCTTACAAGAAGAAGCAAAGCGCCCAAAAGAGAGAGTGGAAGCAGATATTTGAAAGAGATGGCCATGGGGAGGGAGCTCGGGAGATGCATGCGCAGTGTGATACAGTCAACGCGCATATAAGGGCGCGCGATTTTCCAAGGGGGCCCTTGCGTCCTTGCCTCTGCGGCCCGCCCTTGGCCGCTCTCAATGGCCAGCCTCGGGGTGCCATCCCAATTCCCGCCTCGAAGGGTCTTGCGTCCTTACCGCACGTCCTAATATTGTACGTTTTGACTGTATATTTATGGCGCGGGTGCCGAGGCGATTTCGACAACGTGCAGGTTACGAAATCAGAGTCCAAACGCAACACAGTCGAAGACAAAGAGCTGGGGGAATGGTTCCTGGGTGCTCGGGGCAAGCGTCCTTGACGACGACGCTTCTCTGATCGAGGGAAATGGCGAGGATCAAGAGGCGGCGGTGCCAGGGATGAGGACGATGAAGGTGGCCAGGAGGAGTCGAGGGATCAGGGGTAAGATAAATTTTCAGGATGTAGCGTCCCAGGTTCACTGAGGACGGGCTCCTCCACGACCAGCACTGGACGCCCGAGAACGCGGAGACTGACTTCGGGAAAAGGCCCGAACGAACCCCGCAGCAGATTTCCCACCTCGATCCTGACATCTTCCCACCTCGATCCTCCGCCTCTCGATTTCACTTTGGAGGTCCTGGCCATCCCGTTAAGCACCTCCTCACTCCGTAGTGGTTGTCTTGCCGCCTCAGTCGCTCCGAGCTTGACCTTTGAGATGCCGTCGTCGACGAAAGTACGCAACGGTGGCCGTGCTGCTTCTCCTCGGATCCCAAGGCCAACCCCTGCCAACCGCCTCGATTCTTCAGCCAACCCGACCCCTTGCAGGGCGTGCGCGAGGGCCATGAACATCAAGAAGTTCTGCGAGCAGAACAAAAAAAGTACACGAAGGAGGGGCTGGGATGGGGGGTCTGATTGCTTAAGCAAAGCTCCTGCACTCGAGAACCCCTCCCCTACAGCACTAGTCTCTCGGATCGCCAACGTAACATCCGAGCGCAGTGGGCGGGGAAGGGGATTACTTGAGAGGCGCCGCAGCTGCCGTCGAGGGGGGGCGACGGGCCCGCTGGACTTAGGGCAGTGGAGGTTGACCCGCAGCACGGCGACATTCTCTACAGGAAGGTCAACATCACTGATCTGACCACGCGGGGCAGCTTTTTTTTTTCGCGTCTGTTAGCTCACCATGTGTGCAAGCTAGTGGTCCAGTTTCAGTTTGTTCTGCTTAGACATCCGATGCCGTGTGGTTTTTGTTGAGGCCCATTTTGATGCACCCCCTCGATCGTTATTCGGGAGTCCAGGGGCCGAGGCGCTGCCTCCGAGAGGCCAAACACTGAGAAACATAAATCACGATGTCGGAGGTCTAGGCCAGTTGCCCCAGGGCCACGACCAGCACATCGGCACCACCGTGAAGAGCGCGAAGAAGGACGTCGCCGAGGTCGCCCATGCAGCTGGCCTGCGTTCGAAGGTGAAGGCCCCGAGCGGCCCAGGGACGCGGGATGGAGCGACGACCAGTGCCGGCCTCCCTCCTCGCCCCTCCCTCTCGAGCCCGCCTCGCTCATTGGGTCCATCGATCCGCCCTCATCTGGGTGGCGATTGTTCGAGGAAATACGGGAGGCCGTCACGTGTGACACGTCGCGCCTCCAAGATTGGGACAGCCGTGATGATGATGCTGATGATGTTGATGATGATGATATTGATGCTGATGTTGATGATGTTGATGGTGGTGACGATGATGGTGATGGTGATGATGTTGATGATGTGCATGATGATGATGATGATGATGGTGATGATGTTGATGCTGGTGGTGATGCTGATGCCGATCAGCGTTGCCCCAGACCTTTGGAACCATGAAGGACACCAGTGAGCTTGATGATATGTCTAAAGGGGCGCTGACATAACATGTCACCGCCTGTCGTGAAAAAAAAACATGAGGATGATGCTGCTGATGATGGTGATGATGATGGTGATGATGATGACGACGACTACGATTATGGTGATGGTGGTGATGGTGATGACGATGATGATGATGCTGCTGATGATGATGATGGTGGCGGTGGTGGTGATGATGATGCTGTTGCCGATGATGGTGATAACATGCGTCCCCTGGCCAGGCGGAGACGCGCTCGTCGGCAAGCTCGGAGTCCGCGTACAGCGACGAGCACTCGAGCTACTCATACTCGGACAGCCCCCCCGCTGCTCTCGAGAGTTTCCGTCGGATCTGCGCGCGCGCACTTTGCGTGGTCGACCTGAGTTAGAGGATCGGGGAGGAGAGAGAAGGAGGAAGGGGAAGAGGAGGAGGGGGGGGATTGGAGGAGAAATATTCCCACATGTTCCTGCATGCGCTACTGTACCGCAAAGCTGTTTCACCATGGGGGGTGATCTACGCTGCAGGGACTGCAGGTCAACTCATTCCTCCTCGAGTCCCCCCCCCCCCCTCCTCCTCGATGCCCCTCCTCTTCCTCCTTCGCGCTCCGCCGAGCGGGGGACTCCGAGGATGCCGTCGAGAGCGGCGGTCTATCGGGCACTACTGGCTCGACGGGGTCATCAATCGAGGCGGGCCTGATGGGCGAGGCCACGCACCTCCATGCGATCCTCAGCGGCATGGAGGTGGGAGGGGAATGGCGGAGTGGAGAGGAGGGGTGGCGAGGGGGAGGGGGAAGTAGATCTATCTCCCCCTTCCTGATCCTGAAGAGGAATGGCGTTGCATGATGCAGCCTCATCCTGAGCACCCTCGAGGGTGCTCAGGATGAGGCCACATCATGCAACGCTCGAGGGGCAACAAGAGGAAGCTACCCTCCAGGAGGTTCGGGGGGGAGAATGAGGAAGGAGGAGAAGGAGGAGGATGAGCTGGCAGAGCAGGCTGCGCCTATTCGCACCGAGGAGTGCAAATGTGTCAAGCGGGTCACGTTGGGGCGCCGTTCTCCTGGTGAGGCGTTGACGTTATACCCATGTCGACTGGGAGGCAGGGGGGGGGGGGGGGGATGATCGGAGGAGGCGACATGGCGCGCAGCATGGGTTGGCTGGTGAGGGGAGGGCGACGCGAACCCGTGCCTGATCCCGTTCATGCCGTCGATCTCCAAGAGCACATCCGAGCTGAAGAACACGATCGACGGCCTCGCGAAGAAGATCCAGGGCAAGTCCATGTCTTAGCATTCCGTAAGTAGATCAACGGATGACGAGATGACGGGCGACCGTGAGGATGAGGGGTGGATGAGGAAGAGGAGGGTGCGGAGGAGGAGGAACAGGAAGAGGAGGAGTAGGAGGATCGAGTAGGGTAAGGGCGAAGGGGGGGACACCAGAAACTGAGGAGGCGGAGGAGGAGGCGGAACGGAAGGGTGCATGAGTGGTAGACGGGGGAAGCCTGTGTGCACTCCTCGATCATTGACCCGTCCCGAGGTCCGACGGCGCCATCGGGGCCGCGGAGGCCAAGGAGTCGATCAATGAGGCAGCGCGCTGCAGGGGGAAGGGAAGGGCGAGGATGAGGAGGGAGGACGAGGAAGGAGGACGGAGAGGAAGACTGAGGAGTAGGAGGAGGAGCAGGAGGAAGAGGACAAGGAGGAGGAGGAGGAGGAGGAGAACGGGTGAGGATGATCCTCCTCCTCCTCCTCCTCCTCCTCCTGATCACCCTCCTCGTGTCAGTGTTTGTCGTTGTTCCTGCAGGTGTGTCTCGACGGCCCAGAGGCCCGCAGATGGCCTCCAGAGGCCGAGGTCTGGTGCTACCCTCCCGATCTCTCTATAGATGCCTTGCGCCATCCAGTCTTGGGTCATTGACCGAGGCGAAGCGTATCTACGATGGGATCGCACCCGTGATGGAGTCGTTCATGAAAGCACAACAAGCGTTCGGCACGACGCCGAAAAAGGGCAAGACGTAGTAGCGCCGCGCAGCGCTGGGACGGGAGCAGGCATGTCGGAGCAATCATGAGGATGATGCTGATGAGGAGGAGGAGGAGGAGGAGAAGGAGGAGGATCAAGAGGAGGACCAGGAGGAGCCTCTGCAGCGAAGCTCAGATGAGCCGCCCGCGGACACGTCCGAGGGTGAGGGGGGAAGGAGGAGATAGGAGGATGATGAAGAGGAGAAGGAGGAGGATGGGGAGGAGCAACGCATGGTGACAGATCTCGAGAGGACATGTCAGCCGATATCGAGGTGCACCCGTCGGCAGGGGACTGGGCCCGTCAGCGACTGTGCACAGTGACATGCGAGCGACTGCGCGGCAGTCTGAAAAAAAAAAAAACAGTGACGTCGGAGAGCCGTGCTGCAAGGGACATGGCATGATCATGCGGTTGCTGCGCAAATGCTGGGCGTCGGGACAATCGGAGATCAAACGGTGATGAGCAGGATCGTGCATAATGGGTTATGGCGGTTATGGCTTTTGAATATGATGATGACGATCGACAACGGTGATGATGACGATGAAGACGTTGTTGATGGCGATGGCGATGGCTGTGGTAATGATGACGATGAGGATGACGATGGTGATGATGGCGATGTTGATGCTGATGATGATGATGATGATGATGCTGATGATGATGATGATGATGATGATACCACTGCGGTTATGTTGAGGATGATGGTGATGACGACGGCGGCGACGATGGTGATGAACATGATGATGCAGGTGACTTTGGAAACCACGACGACAATGATGATGAGGTGAGGTGGGAGACAGATCGAACGGGAGGAAAGGATCAGCGGAGGGCTTGCAACACGTCTGGAGCGGGGCAGTGATGGGAGCATAGGAGGGATGGAGCAGGGGAGAAGCGTATATCGTTTGGACACACGGCGCATGACGTCAGATTGCAGGTATGTTGCGAGCAGGCCAGCTTGCGGGATCGTCGACCGCCAACACGGCGCATGACGTCAGATTGCAGGTTTGTTGCGAGCAGGCCAGCTTGCGGGATCGTTGACCGCCATCGGATGTGCTGTGAGATGGTCCGCCCTCCCCCGTCCAAGCGTCAGCCCTCGCGTTGCGTCGCAGCTGGCGTGCCGCAGGGACGGAACACCATCGGAGGACCATCGGAAAGGGTTGCCGATCGAGCGCTTCTGAACCGCACCTTGGTTAGCATGCGTGCGTCAGGGTGAGTGAGCAGGAGGGCCTCCCCCCACTCCCAGGAGCAGGACCTCCAATCCACGATTGGCCATCATCTTTGCACGGATCGCGAGGCCCTGCCATCGCCGCAGCTTTTCTTCAGCCCGAGGTGCATTGCCAGCCCTCATCTGTCGACATGGCGTCGGGTCGAGCAGCCGCTGAAGAATTAGCAATCGAACCTTCCCTTGGACTTGCAGATGCAAGTGTGGACAACGGCATTGGACTAAGACGGTATCTACTAGAGCAGTACAAAGCAGGAAAAGAGACAGCCGTTGGAGTCTGCACCATCGCCTGGCATGCTCACCGCGCAGGCGCCCGCGGAGTTGATGACTTGGCGCTGGATCCTTCGAGCACGCACCGGGCAGAACATCTCAGAGCAGCAGTGCAGGCCAGATCGGAAGCGTCATTTTATTATGCATGGGTACCAATGTGGGACGCCGACACAAATACCAGACAATTGGTTAAATTCCCAGTTAACTTACCCCGCGAGCAGTTCGCTGATTCCTTCCATGCAGATCCGCGGCAATGGGATCCACAGTTTTTCCCCGAGGCAGACCTTTCCCCTGTATTCTCGACTCGCGAAGTTGTGGTGTCAAACCCAGGCAAGGCATGCCCAGTGGGGTTCTTCAGCGATGGAGTACCCCACACGAAGAAGGACTCGTTCATAGCGTTTTACTTCAGCAACGGACTCACGGGACGGCGCTTCTTGATCTGCAGTTGCAGGAAAAGTGACATGTGTCAGTGTGGCTGCAGAGGTTTCTGCACCATCGGTGCGATCCAGAGAGTTATTGCTTGGAGCTATAACGTCCTGGCAGCCGGGCAGCACCCTGAATCGAACCATCTCGGCCGACCTTTCGAGGATGAGCTGCGTTTCAACCAGAGGGGGTTTAGCTTGGCATCGGGATATGTGGGGGCCCTCACAGAGATGAGGGCCGACCTCCTGGAGATCACGACGGCACTCGGCCTCAAGACGTCATCTAACCACCTGAACCCATGCTTTGCGTGCTCCTGCCACCGTGACGACCTTCATAATTACCCGCCCACGATTAATCGAATCAGATGGGTGGACAGGGACGCGGAGGCATATGATATCATGCTGAGGCGCACGCTGCTCGTCAGGGACGTGCCGAGCAGAAACGTACTACGGCAGCTGATGCGGTTCATGCACTTCGATGATACAGTTGGCGGGTATGCCCTGTTCAGAGACTTCCAGCCACTTGCCCTGCACAAGGGGTGCCGACTGATCGAGAAGGGTGCAGTTGTTGACCTTCATGACTTGCTCAGCATTGATGAGTTTCCTACGCCGTTTACTTTCTTCGACACCACAGCGCCGATGGGGCTGAACTTGGTGTGCCCCCTGCTGTCAGTTAGAGGATTCTCCCTGAGCTGCGTGCACCTCGACAGCATGCGCGTGCTCGACCTCGGGGTGTCGCAGCACGTCATAGGACATGTTTTCAAGACGCTGGTCAACAAGAACTTTCGCAGGTCGAGGATGAAGTTTGCCCGCCATCGGCGCGCCGAGAACTTGTTCCACTTGCGCAGGATACAGGGCGCACGCATGCAAACCAACACCGTCCACGTGTAGATAAGCAAGGCCCCGTTTAAACTTGTCACGGTTTGATGTTTCCTTTCTTGCGTTTTGCTTAACACGGAACCCGCGCCACCGCCCCAAATCCTCCCCCCCCGAGGAGGATGAAGTCTTTCTACGCGTCCACCCAGTACTTGTACCCGAACATGAGCCAGAATAGGATCGGCAAGTTGACTCTGAAAATGTTTATTAGAGGCCGCTTAAAGGCCAAAGCAGCAGAGACCCGCCACCTTTTGCCGTTGATATCTATGCTGTGCCGCGAGAACAAAGCACTGCTCGGAACCAATGCCTTCGCGCTCACTACTGCATGCGAGTCGCTCGAGCTTGTCCAGGCCATCATGCGCCAAGAGAGGAGACAGATGAGCCCCGCAGCACTCCAGCGCATGCAGCAAGCCATGCTTAGGTTCTTGATTCTCTGGAAGAGCTGCAGGGGGAAGACCGTGTTTAAGCACCATATAGCTGTTCATTTAGTGCAGCGTGCTGCCCTGCACGGGAATCCTCGGTTTTACTGGTGTTATCCAGACGAAGGCGAGAACCGCCTGATGGCGTCCGTGGCGAAGGCCCTGCACGGGGGCCCCACGTTCTACTATAGATTCTTGCAACGTGTGCTGCCTGAGAAATGCTAGGGTTGCTATATAGTGCATCCCTGTACTATCACCTCTCTCCCCTGACCAAATCGCCCCCCCTCTCCTCCTGCATGTGCATGCGCGCTTCGCAGCTTGCAGCGACGGAGGACGCCTAGGGGGAAACGTGGAGGGTAGATGAATTGAGGGTATAGATTTAGGGGAGGGAGGAAGAGGGGGAGGAGGAGGAGGAGGAGGAGGAGGAGGAAAAGGAACACGAGGGAGAGGGATCAACCATGAGCAAAGGGTCCAGCGTTTCACACATGTTTCATCACGCACTGCTGTTTCACCATGTTTCATCACGTACTGCTGTTTCACTATAAACGTTTCGTCACGTACTGTACGTTGTTTCGCACGCGGCGCACCAGATTCGATCGGATATGAAAAGGCGCTGCCGAGCTAGCCTGCGGAAGGCGCGGGGCGCGGGCCCCCTCGAGACGTCATCCCGCTCCCTCCTCTTCCTCCTCCTCCTCCTCCTCCTTCTCCTCCTCCTCCTCCTCTTCCTCCTCCTCCTCTTCCTCCTCCTCCTCCTCCTTTCCCCTGTTTCCTGCCCCTGCTCCTCCTCCTCCTCCTCCTCCTCCTCCTCCTCCTCCTCCCCCTCCTCCTCCTCCTCCTCCTCCTCCTCCTCCTCCTCTTCCTCCTCCTCCTCCTCCCCCTCCTCCAGACCTACTGGGCTCGACTGCCAAGGCGGCTCGAGCTGCAGGTGAGCGGTCGTGGAAGGTGTGGCTTCTAAGGGACATAGACCAGGGCGGCGGCCGCAATGCTCACGCCTGGACGCGTCCTGTAGAGGCCTGGGTTCCCTCCACGACCCTCAGTGCTGCGGGCCAGGTGGTTTCCGATCCTCGTTCCCTT